CTCTTCTTCCGTTCATCCGAAGTATAAATTTCAGGTATGTTCCTTCTTCGATTTTTATCCTTTGAGTTCTGCTTTATTTGTTGTGTTCTTCTTTGCATTTGAGCTTGGGCATGTCTAATAATCACAAGTTTATGAATTTTATCAGAACGACCGAATGGTCTGGCTCTACCAGTCCTCCACCCAGGTCCTTACCTAGGTCGAGGTCTTTAGGAACCGGGGAATCGTGGCTAGCTGGCAAGTGTGCTGCCCCTTGGAAGAAAGTGAATTCGAATGATAATCGTGCGTCTTCCTTTCAACGGTTTGAAATAAGATGTACATCCCGAAATCCTAATCGTGGGATTACCAGAACGTTGTCGCAACAAAGTTCGTCTTTTTGTCCAAAAATTCTCTTCAAAATGAGCAGTAATATTTTCATGTCGAGTGATTCTGCCTCAAATTCTGGTTGTAGTTATAAGTCTGTTAATACCTTAAACTCTGAATCTTCCCCTTCAATTTCATCGCGCGATACTTCTCCTTCCATCGCGCGAAATCAATCATGCTAAAGGAGTCCAAGCCCTTTGCCCTTAAATGTTATTTACCCAGCAGGGTATCCGTATAATTTTTTTTTTTTGATAACTTTAAATCTGCATTTGCTAATTCTTCGTCTAGCTCTACTAATACCTCCTCTTCTGACTCAGATCTCATCTCGCCTAAAATTAAAGAGATCATGTCAAGGCGCGGTGCAACTGATAAAAAGAAGAAGCAGAAGCTTGATCCCGAAGCTACTGGGTCGGGTACTGTGATATTCGAGATGAGGAAGCTCTGAATTGGGTGTCCGACATAGTTTTAGACACTGTCTCTATATACAGTTCTCCAGAAGAATTGGCAGAATTGAAGGCTGCCATCCATGTCACCCCAGACAAATCTCATGACGACAAGTGGGAGTTAGATGTCGTTCCTTTAAATAAACGTATATGCTCCGCTTGCGCTGAATGGTCTTCAAGACACTTCTTAATGATGTATGCCTACTTTTTCTTGACAATATGAGTACGTTTACCTTTTTCATCCTTTGTTTGTAAGTTATTAGCGCATGTCAATGTGGCGCCCTCACAATTATCTCCAAATGCCTGGGGTTTTATAAGGGTATACAAGATGGTTTATAAGGCGTACAACCTATTTCAATCCCCAGAATCTTTTTGTGTTTGTTTAGTGTTATTGGGTCGCGCTCTAGCTGGGTTTCTTTCAGGGGGAAATATAAATTCAAATTTTGTGACTCCTATCTGTGGAAGGTTCACAAATGGTCCACAGACTTCTTTCAAAATCTATCCCGCAAAAGGTTCCCAAGCATTTTTCTTAAACGAAGAAGACAATACCCCTATCTTCCCGCTGTATTGGACACAACATCCTTTAGAGGGTCAAAAGATAAGCTATAGTTTTGATGATCTGAATGATTATGAGATGCATATAGTTACCACATTATGTAATATAGCGTGAGAGGCTTCTGATTCGGGTTACCTGAGTACTTATACTATTTTGAATGAGTACACTGATAATGATATCAGAGCTTTCTTGGGTAAGTTTGTTTCCATTGTTTCAGTTGTAACTAAAGGAAACATTTATATTTGTGTTTATTTTGAATATGTCTAACGCGCACTCTTTGTCCTTTGATTTTCAATAGCTAAAAATAAATGAATTCCTCTATGGCACATGGGCGTTGTTTGGCCAACGACATAGAAAAAGGACCTTCAAGCAATCCCTCTATGATAAGATGTAGGGAAACTTGTGGATCTAAATCTCTTACTAGGAGCGCTTCATCAAAAAACCTATTAAGGTAATTGCACAGAGTTTATGTGCTCCTTATCGTACAGTTTTCAAGGCATGTGTGTATTTATACTGCGTTTTGCTAGTTGCGAATCGTACAAGGAATTGGCTGGTTAGATCCTCCCAACTTTGAATTGAATTAGTTGGTAAAGCGTAGTACCATCTGAGCGCCACTTCCTTCAGGGTTGTTGGGAATAACCTGCAAGCTATTGGATCAGCGACATTTTGTGCCATCATGTTCGTCTGGAATTGTTCTAGATGTTCTTGCGGGTCTCCCTTACCGTTATACTTCTCAGTGGTAATTTTTACGTCCCTGGGAATGGGGACGCTTATGATACATGGGGTGAAGGGATGGAAGACTCGTGAGACTATCCTAGAATTCCCCTGAGAATTTTTATGGATTTCTTTTTCTTCCTCTCCTTTCTTTTTCTGACCGAAGGTCCAGGATCTTGTTTCGAATATTCATGTCCTCGCTCACTCTCGCCAGAATTTTCAAACTCTTTTTTAGCTTCTCTCTCAGGTTCTTTTTAATTTTCTTTGCCTTTTTCCTGGTTTTTCTCTCTAGTCTTTTGTGATTTTTTCCATCGAGCAAAATCTCGATTCTATTGGGCGATTTTTTTGTTTTGCTGCATGATAAGCTTCAACAGGTGTTGGGTTGTGGGTGTATTATCGTGGTGTACGGAGATTGGTGCAACCGACGAAGCTGATTTTTCGCGAGAAACATGTGTCTCTTTCTACTTCCCTTTGGAACCGCTATGGGATTTGCTTCTGGTATCAACCATGTTTTTAAATTGTGAATGGATGGATTCTAAATGATAAAATTCCCCACAAACGGCGCCAATGATCAGACCAATACAATGTGGGCTAACCAAAGTGTATCGGGCCAAATCACACACGGTTGAAGTGAGAAGGCTTTTGGGTAATCTATTTTCTGGGCTGGGGGTTGTTGATGATGATGGGATGACTTTGGTTCTTCTTTAGCGCGATGATCCTCACTGGGGGGGTACCTGCAATGACACTGACGCTCAAGTCAGTATCAATGACAAGTTTATGTGTATTCTTACTGAATTAGATGATAATACCTGGACATGTACTATCTGTTTATATAGTGGTTCTGATGCCGCCTTAGGAAGGAGGTAAGGCCTTTGATTGGCTGTTCAAGGGCTGCAAGTTCAGCTGGTGCTTCCATAGCCTTATCTCTTTATGTCAGGCTATCTAGTAGAGTGGTGGCAAGCTGGTGCTGTCCTTTGTTTAGTTGTTCAATGGCGCGGAGGGCCTTTATTAGTTCATGTGATTGCTTCCTTATCTCTGAAGTTATGTTAAAGGGCAATTTCATGCGCGATGGTGGCATAGCACCCAATTATGCGGGATAGAAGCCATCACGCCTCACTCTGGGCCTTGTGGGTTTGGGCCTTGTTCTATGTATTTGGGCCTTTGATGGGCCTATCATATTTTATCCAGATCAGTGTCAAATTTCCGCTAATCAAATTTATTAATTAATCATTAATTGTCAATAAATAATAATCGTATCAACGGTTAGGATTTGGTATCAAATTTCAAAGTTTGACACCGATGCCAAATGATCTTATCTCTATTGGAAAGGGTCAGGATTCTTTGACATAGATGTCAAACTCTAAATTTGATATCAAATCCTAATCGTTGATTTTCGCCAATCAACAGTTATAACATTCGCTAATCAAACTTATTAATTAATCATTAATTCCCAATAAATAATAATCATTGATTGGCGAAAATCAACAGTTAGGATTTGATGTCAAATTTCAAAGTTTGACACCGATGTCAAAAGATCCTATCTTTATTAGAAAGGGGCAAGATCCTTTGACACCGGTGTTAAACTTTAAAATTTGACACTAAATCCTAATCGTTGATTTCCGCCAATCAACGGTTATAACTTCTGTCAATCAAACTTATTAATTAATCATCAATTCCCAATAAATGACAATTGTTGATTGGCGAAAATCAACGGTTAGGATTTGGTGTCAAATTTCAAAGTTTGACACCGATGCCAAATGATCCTATCTCTATTAGAAAGGGGAAGAATCCTTTGACACCAGTGTCAAACTTTAAAATTTGACATCAAATCCTAACTGTTGATTTCTGCCAATCAACAGTTATAACTTTCGCCAATCAAATTTATTAATTAATCATTAATTCCCAATAAATGATAATCGTTGATTGACGAAAATCAACGGTTAAGATTTGATGTCAAATTTCAAAGTTTGACACCGATATCAAATGATCCTATCTCTATTGGAAAGAGGCAGATCCTTTGACACTGCGTCAAACGTTAAAATTTGACATCAAATACTAACAGTTAATTTTCGCCAATTAACGATTATAACTTCCGTCAATCAAACTTATTAATTAAATGCTACTTCCCAATAAATGATAATTGTTGATTGGTGGAAATCAACTATTAGTATTTGGTGTCAAATTTAAAATTTTGACACCAAATCATAATCTTTGATTTCCAACAATCAAATGTTATAATTTCTGCTAATCAAACTTATTAATTAGTCATTAATTCTCAATAAATGATAATTGTTGATTGGCAGAAATCAACGATTTAGATTTGGCGTCAAATTTGAAAGTTTGACACCCATGTGAAACGATCATTCTCTATTAAAAAGGAGCACGATCTTTTAACACTGATTTCAAACTTTAAAATTTGACAATTTGGTGTCAATTTTACCAAGTGGGGTTATATTGGCCATTTCGGTTTTGAAAAAGACGAGAATTTTTATGCGTCTAGTTTGAAAGGCATTGATTTGTAAGTGATTTGCCTTCGTATGGCCACATGACAAATCTCTTAAAGATTATGCTTATATTACTAACGGATGATTTCACTTTTCATAATCTTATCTCCGCCCCACGCGCGGTAGGAAAGTATCACTTGGGCTTTTCCTTCTTTTGAATTTTTTAAATTAAAATTTCTTTGCCTTAATTCCTCATCTAATAACTGCAGGACTAAGAAAAACTAAGCACAATAAATATATGGAGCAACATATAAGACAAGAATGAGATTATCATTGGAGCAAAAAAGTATTACAAAAATGCATTTTTCCAATTAAAATCTCTTCCTCCTCAGTATTTGTGAAATGAATGCCTCTCTTGGCCTTGAAGAGGCTCTATAGCGATACATCGATTTAGAAGTGAATGAGGAGTCCCTTGACGGTGAATCAATGAATGAGATAGGTCAACACCAAAGCCACAAGCATTAGGAAATATGCAATCGCTTGGTCAATTGCGGTGCCTGTAAATTTCAAAGAACAATTTATTAGCAATATGCAGCGTGTCCCCACCAATAATCTTCAAAAGGCAGATTATGGATAAATAATAAATTGGAAATCAATCTTGGATATAAGTCCAAGATGCCTTTATCATTGCTGCAGTATTTAGACACCCTAGAGAGAGCCCAGATTTGTTATATTATTTTTAGTAGATAAGTGTTTAGATTAAGGGGAGGTATGCCCTCATTGTACATCGTCTACCAAAACAAAGAAAGATAAAAATCAAATCTAAGTCACAACTAATATGGACAAAAGGTTCGACCAGTTGTGGTAATCCAAATGAGATGATAACATATTTGAAATATCCTTATTATATAGTTTCAATGGTCTATTTCATATTAACATAGTTGTCTTGCTCTTGCCAGTTCCACCATGCTGAATTTTTATTCTTTTTTGATATTAAGAATTTTTATTCTAATAGTATAATATGAAATGACATATCTTAATATTATATGAAACAAATAAAAAATATAGCCAACTAGAACATCTCTTGAAGAATCAAGGAGTTTTTGTCAAGAACCCCCTAACCATGATAACAAACAAAGAGAACAAACAATGAGGGGTGCCATGGGATCAGCATGAAGGAAGAACATGAATGAATAGGTTAATTAAAAAATTTATCAAATACCAACAATGAAATCTGAAATGAAGAAAGAAAAGAAGAGAATAGAATTACCATCGCTTGTGGGGGCAGGAGCAGGAGCAGTGGGTTGTGAACAAGCCACTGTCATAAGGGCTGCAATAATAAGGTTAATGAAGACAGCCACCCTGAATGAAGCACTGGAAACAGCCATGTTTCTCTTAATATTGCTATCTTCTTTTTGCTTTAACTTCTCTCTCTCCTTCCTCTCCCCTGTCTCTATTGAGAGAAAGAAAGGAGAGAGAAATTCAATTAACAAAAAACTTGTTGGAGAAAGATGCAGGGGTGGTGAAAATGAAGAGGTATATGAAATTCCTTTTATAATGGCAATGCAAGCCTTCGTAGTCACAAGAGCCAGCCATGTTGTGATGTAAAATGAAGGGTGCAACCGCATGTTCAGGGGACCCATATACCAATGTGAGATTTCCTTTCCTTTATTTTCTAATTTTTTTTACTAATAATATTTGACCTTCGCAACTCGTAATTGCTTAGTGCATTTTGGTTTCTCGTTTGGAAAATCTCAAATTATAGTTTTTGGGGAGGTTCCAAGGTGCAAGTAAACTAAACAGCCTATTAGTTGGTGCATTTTCTATTTTGTGTCCTTCAAATATGACCTGATTTCAAGCTGTACATACGTTGTATAGAAAAGAATACAAGTAACTAAAAATCTCAAGAAATAGAAGCTAATCTTTTTTTATTTTATTTTTTCATTGTTTTTAATTTATTTATTTTTTAAAAAATCTCACTTTTTTTTAAATTTTAAATTTTGCGAGTCGTGTCGTGTCGACCCGTGACCCGCAACAGGTCGTGTCAGGGTTCGTGTTTAGTGACCCGTTTATAAAACGGGTCGTGTCAAATAGTGTACGGGTCGAAAACGTGTCGTGTCGTGTCGGGTTGACCCGTATTGCCACCCCCAGTATATATGCTACTTGTGTCTAATTATTCCCTTAATTCTTACCGTCTTCATAAAATGAAGAGATGGACAAGATATATAGGGCCTCCATGCATCAACGTAAGCACATGATCAAAAATCAAGAAAGGAAAAAAGTTAGTTGGATTTGTAAAATTAAAATTAGTAACGTGATGATGAATTAATAATGACATGGAATCAATTAACACGGTGAATTATAAAGTAATTACAAATAATGACAAAAATATTATTTTTTAATGAAATGGGGACGGTTTACATATGACAGCACCTGCAATTTTTTTTTATTTATGAGTTGTTTAATTTCAGCTTACGCATTTGTCATGCAAGTTTTATTTATAAGTTGTGTAATTTCGGCATACGCATTTGTCATGAAATGCCAGTGTGACAATTACATTAGAAGTGGTAAATATGTTGAAATTTACTCTAAATTGTTATACTTTTTTAATTTTATTACCTTAATCATTCCTTTGAGGTATTCTAATAATTCGGCCGAGAAAAGATCCCACACAAATATAAGATTAGTATAACATAACGAGGAAGTTATATTTACAAACTCTTACAAACTACACTATGTCTGACCGGTCATACACTCTTAATTGAAGTCTGACCAGTCATACTTAGTATAGTTGGTAAGTTTATAAAAAAAAAAAATTTGTAAATATAATCTTCCCCGTAACATAATATATGAACAATTAACAAAAAAAACTATGAAGAGCGTGAAAACTAACTCAAAAAAGGAGGAATAAAAGAATTGGAAAAACAAAGTTAAAGGATTTATTTCATGAACAGTGTCGTAGCCACATTGAAAACAACAAGTGCTTTGGCACTGGATGGTTTTCAAAATCAGAAGCTTTTTTTATCTTCAGTGATTGTAAATGATTTGCTTCCTTCATAGCTGCTAGTTTTGACAATAACTTCCTTCATAGTTGGCTGATTTTTGGCACTAGCTTTCCAATTTTTCTGGCTCCGCCACTATTCGTGAATCATATTTGCAAGCTCTGCCATTGAATATTTGAAACGATATCATTGTATTAATTAATTGTTAAATTACTGTATAAATTTTATCATCTCAAAATATATTTTGTTACGAACATTTTTTTAATCTGTTGATGTTTTATACAATAAACTCTTACATAAATAGAACTTTAACAACAACTATTCATAGATTCAAGCTCAAACTATTAAGAAAAAATAAAATTACAATAAGTCAGAGACTCACAATAATACTAGGCCTCTACGGGGTTGGAGCGGCTCCTTCGGATCTCTACCCGCTCACCTGGGAGCGAAATCTTTCTGTTGTTCCTCGCCAATAAAAACCCTCATCAATATTTTCTTCGAGATGAAAATTCAGCACTTTGAAAATGTCATCTTCTTCCCTCCAAGATTTTCTTCTTTCTTCGTGCCTTACATGCAAAATTTGTACACTTGCTCTTGAAAACTAAAAACTCAACTAACTACTGACTTCTAATTAAAATTCCTATTTAACTAATTCCAAAAATCCAAATGCTTGTTGTCCATCCTTCTTGATCTTATCCAATATTTATCAGCTTGCCACATTAATTCATTGTGCATACTTATGTCTTCCTGTGTTGACAAATCAGAAAAACTATGGAAAAATCACAAGTTTGTCATCCACATATTAAAACACCTTAGTGGGCCTGTTTTACACACTCTTTGGGCCTTTCCACCTGCATTTAGAGTTATATACAGTTCAATACCATACAAAATGCATTATTAATTCAGATAAAATTGTACAAAAAAAAAACTTTACATTTGTTATTAATGTTAAAATATTTTTATCATTTTGACTTGATTTTTAACTTTTACACTTATTATTTTAACTTTTATGCATCTTTATTTTAATATAATTATTCACATTCAACTTTATTGTCAAAGTTTATTCATTTTAACCTTATTTTTTGTCTTTGGTGCATCTATTGCACTTAGATTTACATGTAAGAGGAGAGAGAGAATATTTGACAGATAATTTTCTCTTGCATCTTAATAAAAATGCTTATTTGCAGAGGTTTTTTAACTTTCGATTAGATTCTTTCATTGCCCTTCTAAAATATTTGTTTCGGATTAAAACCCACAAAATGTGGCTGCTGGGATTCGAGCCCAGGTCTCCACGGCCACAACGTGGAATTCTTACCACTAAACTACAGCCACAGCTTACTATGCCGTCAAACATTGTTTGAATTTAATCTTTTAAATTTGGGAGTTCAGGAGTATTTTCTAGACCAAGAAAAGTCAAAATACTCATTTCCTACTTATAATCTAAATTCAATTTTCTCCGTAGCGTTTAAAACCCTTAAAATAAGCTTTTATAATTTTCAAACAATGCAAATAATTCCTATATTTTTGGAATAATAAAATTGGTCTTGTTTGGGCTACAAAGTTTAAAATTTTGAATATTTAGAGTTTATTTTTTATTTTTTTGGTTTCTCAACCGATTCATAATTTATCCAATTAGTCTAGTTGGAGAATTGTCAAATTCATATAAAAGATATTCTACCAAAACTTGAACTCGAGACTTCTGATTGATGGAACACTTTTCTTATTATTGGAACCAATGATGATTGGTAAATATTTGGAATTTTACAATACAGAAAGTGACGCAATAACTTTGTGCCAATATTTTTTTTGGGTTAGAAGATCAATAGTCAATACTATTAGAAGGTAAAAGAGAGAAAGTGGAAAAAGTTGATTTCATTTTTTTTAATTCATTTGTACATATGGGGCTCTTATATAGAAGAGCATAACTAGAAAAGAGAAGATCTAGAATATCTATTTTAATAAAATATTTATATCTCTAATACTCCCCCTCAAGATGGAGGGTAAATAGCACCATCTTGGGAAGAAAGAAAATAAAAGCTTCACGGAACATCATCCGGCGAAATCGATAGCACAACAAATCAACTGGAATGATCATCAGTCTGAAGAGCTGGTAAAGAGACAGTGTTGGAATGAACATCAGCTATAATGTGCTGTAATGGACATCAGCAAAGGAAGGGCTGGGATGGACATCAGCCTGAACATCAATGCTATAACTAAGATAAAAGCCGACGGAGCCACTGTAATTAGGATAATCTGCAGACCAGGCAACGACCGAGAAAAATGCTCCTCTTTTTTGGAGAACGGAATCCTTCTTCAGAATAAGAGAGCTGCAACGTAAGCTATACCAGAAATAACAAAATACATTGGTGACACAAAACATCAAACACCTTGCGTGCATCATGGAGAGCACCACCCTCGTACATGAACTCATATCATACAAGTTATGGAAACAAGAAAATGGCCAGAATACAAGCCAACAACAAATAAACAAAAAAAAATAGCTTAACACCAGCAGCCAAAATGAATATAGGCCTACAAATAGGAACGCTAGGAGATGAACAGATGCGAACGCAAAGCACTGCCTGAAGAAGCACACCTGATCAATGGCACACCGCTTGAGACATGAACGACGCTGATGGACAGTGACACGACGCCAATGAAGAAACGATGGCAGAAAAAAAGAATAAAAAATGAAACATATCTAAGATCTAAGAACAGGGACGATGGCAACAACGGTGGGTCTTGGACGCGACAAAGATCTGACACATGAACAAATCAGACATGGCCGGATTCACATGTACGAACAAGACATTTAGAGGAGTTGAATCGTAGTGAAGAAGGTTCAGTTTGGTGTTGGTGGTGATCTGAGTTGAGCAGATCTAAAGTCGTGAGGTGGAGAGTTCATCGGAGCGAGAAAATGTTCGCCGAAAAAGAAAAGGACATGACCGGAAGAAGAGAAACGCGGCCGGAGGAGAGAAAGATGCCAAATCTGAAACAGAAACGGTCGGAGAAAAGGAAGACACGGCCGGAGGAGACATAAACGCAGATATGAAAACTGGGTATGACCAGCCAGAGATTCAACGGTGACTGGCCGGAGAAGAAGTCGCTGGAGGAGAGAGCTAAAAAGTATCATCTCTGATGTTGAAATCAATCGATAGATTATAAAATGCATGATAAAAAGAAAATGAAATTCACAAATCGGGATCAGATCTGGAAGAGAAGAAGAGAAAAAATGCAGATGCAAAGGAGATCTGGAAGAAAAGGAGAGAAAAGATACAGATGCAAAGGAGATCTGGATGATGAAGAAATTTAAAAAAAAAAATAATGGCAGCGGAACCTACATTCACGGAGGTTGAAAAGTTGCTTTTGATACCATATTAGAAGGT